CAAGGCCACCTTTTCCATCTGATTGAGCGCTCTCTCGATGTCCAGTAATGGCGAGCTGTCCCTAGGACCCCGAATACTGAACAGGCCTCCAATGTAGTCTTCGTGGAATTCGTAGTCGATAGCCTTGCCAAGCCTTGTCCGAAAGACCTCGAGGTCATTATGCGCTTCTAGCATAGCAATGCCGTCACCGTTGACCTTCCGCATGGCCTCTAGGAGTAGCGCACGCTTGCCAGTACCTCGTTCGCCTATGACGAGGTAGTATCTTCCCCTAGCCCTACCGCTGACCACATTGTCAATGTCTTCCTGCTCCGCTCGCGGGACCCAGTATTCTCTTTCTACAATCTCTTGTATCTTGTCTGGCTCGGTGCCGTATGAGATGCGACCCAACGCAACGCGCTCCTGCGAGCTGTATCCCGTGGCAAAGGCATTCTCAATCTTCTTCGCGACCGTCCTCTTGTAGAATAGACTATAGGCATAGCCGCCAAGGCCTAGGCCGAAGAGCGATATCAGAGCTACCGTGCTTCCTTCGAGCACGCTCCGTGCAAACTTGCTTCGCTCTTGGTTGTCCCCATTGTGCGGGCCGTTGTTTCGTGATTTTGCTGACTGAGGACTGTGCTGAGACTGTAAGAAGGCGGGCGTAGGTTGGAAGCGAGCGGGGTGTCTGCCGAGGGGTAGGACAAGCCATCCTGAGGCTGTTAGTATTAGATAGAGTCTGGGGTCATATGAGATAGCTTACCCCTTCTGGCACGCTGTAGAGAGCGTCTCATTCGTCTCGTCGCAAAGGGAGCCGATGAGCGTGTAACTAAGTCGAAAACCTAGGTACGCGTCATGTAGGTCGATGCACGAGCACGTCTTGGCCAAGCGTCTCACGCCTTGCCGTATAGCCGAACATCCTCATGGGAAGTGGAGACCAGACGCAATGCCGTGTATCTGCGATCAGATCGAGTGCTATCAACAGGGCATGGTGAGCTCCATGGTGGGGAGTTTGATACAAGACGCGAAGGGCTTCGGAAGCGCGTCATTCCAAGATCCAGGGTTCGCGCTAAGACACGTTCGCAACATCGACATTGTCACAGCAGTCTGATGCTCACCGCCATCATTGGGGAATATCGAGATACCATAATATGATACTCGTCAGCGATCTAGCCTCCCTCTGCATTCCAGCGGATTCAGGCAGATGGTGGTAGTCATTACTCGAGTTCACCTATAACCACAAGCAATGGTACCTTAGATACCTCAGATACCACTTCAAGCATTCTCATCATACCTTGTCCCTAGGCCATCTGGGATAAGCCTTGCTTACATTTCAAAGAGCTTCAATTGTAAAATACCTACGTGGGTATCCAAGCAAATACAGTACACGTTCACCAACTGCCGAACGACTGCGATGTTCGAGATTACTGATACATTCGACACCATGGCAGAGACCCCCCACTGTCCGTCAAACCAACGAGCCCATCTCGACAGCCCGACATATATACCTTCCATCAAAACTTGCTCATCTTGCTGTCGAACCTGCCAAATCTCGCGACGCTAACCCAACGCAGCCTAACACCTCCCCAAGATCGACAGGGTCCACACGTGCAAACGCAATCCATGAGGCGACTCGGAAGGCCCAGACGTCCGTTTCCCACAGCATCGGGCACCCGTCTCATGACCATCACGGTATTTTCCACCCAAACCTTGCGACACAATATGTAGCCTCTTCTTCGACTTAAGGCGATTCGCCTTTTTGCTTCTTCACACATTACAAACCTGGGCGGCCTTCGATAATGTCGCGCTCAACAACGAGCTCGAGAAGCTCATCGTCATCTCCTCTGGCCTCACCAATCCAACCAGTCTACCCCGCCCGATCAACACCTTCGCCCACGCGACGATCACCCCGCCCCCTCCTCGTCAAACTGTACACTTCTCACATTCTGTCAACATGGAATGCGCGCACCTTTGAATTCGGCGCTGTCATCTTCCTGGCGAAAATCTTCCCGGGAACGCTGTTCTTCGCATCGTGCTATGCGCTTTTCCGGTCACTCGCTGCTGCCATCCTCGGATCATGGATCGGAGGGCTAGTTGACCGGAGAGATAGATTATGGGTTGTGCGCCAGAGTATCGTGTGGCAAAGAGTTAGTGTAGCGGGGAGTTGTGCGGTTTTGGTGGCGATGTTGGGCTTGGGTGGAGAAGAGAGGGATGTTGGCATCGTGACCTACGGACTCTTCGTCATCAGCATGGTGCTGGCATGCACCGAGAAACTCGCCTTCGTCGCCAACACCGTATCTGTGGAGCGCGACTGGATCGTCGTCGTATCCGAGAGTCTGGCTGTCGACCGTCAAAAGCTGAACAGCGCCATGCGCAGAATAGATCTCATCTGCAAACTCATCGCGCCCGTGGGCATCGGACTGGTAGACGGCTACTCCACCAAACTCGCCATCTGGGCCGTCTTCGCACAGAACGCGATAAGCGTGTTGGTGGAATATTTCGCCATCGCGAACGTCTATGCCGCGATACCGGAATTAAGTGTTGGAAAGGGCGTCGTGACGAAACAAGCGTCTGAAACGGACATTGCTACGGAACTGCAACAGCGAGCCTCGTCACCTAACCAGGATACCGTACCAAATACCACTACGCTCCGCTCTACCATCACCAAAACCATAACCGCACATCTCGCGCCGTACCGCGAATACATCACCAACCCCGCCTTCCTGGCCTCCTTCTCCCTCTCCCTCCTCTACCTCACCGTCCTCTCCTTCGCCTCGCAAATGACGACCTACCTCCTCACCCTCGGCTTTACCAGCACGCACGTCTCTGTCATGCGCCTCGTATCCGTTATCCTCGAATTATCCGCCACTATCGCAGCGCCGTGGCTCATGAACAAAATCGGCGCCGTACGAGCAGGTCTCTGGTTCATCAACGAACAGCTCCTCGCCATCGCCCTGGCAATCGGCCTATTCCACATTTTCCCCACAACCACAGCGCCAATGCTAGCGGGCGGCGCCCTCGTAATCGGCGTATGCCTCTCCCGCCTTGGTCTCTGGGGCTTCGATCTCAGCGTTCAATATCTTGTTCAGGAAGACGCACCACCTGCCTCCCGTGGCTCCTTCTCCGCCATCGAAATGTCGTTGCAGAATCTGTTCGAACTGCTGTCTTTTGCGACGACGATGATCTGGTATAAGCCGCAGGACTTCTTCATACCGATATATATTTCAGCGGGCGCGATTGCGTCGAGCGCGGCGTGTTTTGCGGGCTTTGTGAGGCAGAAGAGGGGGCATTTGTTGCATACGGATCGGTGCTTGAAGAGGATGGGCAAGGGGAAGAGGATGTATCAGGTTTTGCCTACGATTGAGGAGGAGGATATGGAGATGGAGGGTAGGTGAGAGGGGACATTATATCTACGGCCAGACCGAGATGAATGAGAATGACGAAGTACCGCTGCAAAGAAAAGCTGGAGCAGTGTGTGAATCCATCCACGCAACGTGGGATTAGTGTTCTTCGGAGAAAACCAAAGCTGCGTTGTGACGCAGGTTCAATATCGGTTAACGGACAATTAATAATCTAATCTAGCACGTGTAGGCCGCGCCAAAACGGGCAGTCACAACATGTGCCGCGCTCTATCGTCAGAGGGTGGGAGGCGGAGGGAAGGAGGAGGGGTGGAGGCGGAGGTCTCCCAAATCCCTCCCTGAGTGAGCATGCTCTTCCAGTACTCGCTCTCAGACCTGAGTGATTCCCACAACATGACCCTGGTGGTAGTGTTGATATTTCAAGCCGTCACTTCTTACCTACTAGGTCAATTGACCCAGTTCTCAGGTGCGTGAAGTTTACAGTCCAGGTGGACATCATTTCCTTGTGCTTGCTCTCGAATCTGATTGATTTAGACTACATGTTATACGTGTTCGCAAGCCGTTACTTCCTACCTACCCGGCCTCGTAACCGTCACTTTCTCACTCCCGCCCCCATGTGTTTGCGCCAAGACGTGTAATAGTCTTTGTCAACTACGTAGCCCGGACCACTTACACAATAAATCAGGCTGCACTCACTCGCACTCACCTTGCAAACGGGGTCCCTAGGTCCAGATTTTCGCCACCGCGCTCAGACTTTATCCAACGTACTCGGTTCCTTCCTTCGAAGTCTTGTATAACTCCACCCCAACAACTCCCATAAACTCACACTTCCTCACTACTTCCTACCAAATATACAACGACTCTGTTTCCTTAAACTCTAGACAACCACAAAACCCCAACCTCCAAACAACATGAAGTCCCCCACCCTCATCCTCGCCTTCGTGGCCATTCTCTTCACCACCGTCCTCGGCAGCGTCATCCCCCACGACACCGCTTCCTCATCCGACAACGCAAGTCCACCTTCGTTCCTACACCCTCTCTCCCGGCTTTACCCCAGAGCCGAGGTTGACGAAGGAGAGCAGGACGTTCATAATGTGGCTACTATGTTCTGCAAGCGCTGCAGTGAGGCTTATGTTGGTTGCGCTAATGTAAGTTTGGGTTTGATTTATGGAAGTGGAAGGTGAAAGGTGTAACAAAAGGAAAGTGTACTGATGCTTAAAACAGAGCTGCAAACATACTTCTCAGTGCGAGATCATCTGCCAGGGCGTCCATGTTGATGGGAAGCTTTGCAAGAAGGAGTGTGGTTGGACTCAGTAGATGGGTGGGTGGGTCGGTAGGAGGCGAGGTAGATATGGGTGCAGTGGTTTCGTGGTGTGGATCTTCTGGTTTACAGACATACGAATGGAAAGGGAGATGGAAGAGCGGTCATCGCTGTCATGTCACAGATGAAGCTCGGCTGTAGTGCTGGTGTCTCATGGATAGCCTCGACTCGAGGAACAAGAATTCTGATGGCTTCAAGCTCGTTGTGTTTTCTTCAAGACCCCATACTGATGTACCTACCCTGTCCATCCCCCTCAATTCGGCGTAAGTTTCAACAACCTCCCCCCAGCCCCATCCTCAATCACCCAAATCGCGCCCTCCTTATCCTCCCGAATCCCCCTCATCCGCTTACCCATCCCAATCCTCTGCGCCTCCGCCGCCGTATCCCCCGTAATCCCCACCCTGACCAATCCCTGAGCACTAAGCCCGGTGATAATCGCATTACCCTTCCATCCAGCAAAAAGATCACCTTTGTAAATGATAAGACCAGCAGGCGAGATAACAGGAACCCAATTCGCCTTGGGCGCCGCAAACTCCGGCCTCGTACTGTGCTTCGGTATCAACGTGCCATTGTAGTGCCGTCCCTCGCACACAAGCGGCCACCCATAGTTCTTACCCGGTTGAATGAGATTGAGTTCGTCGCCTCCAAACGGGCCCATTTCGACTTCCCACAAACGACCCTGCGCATCGAAATCGATACCTAGGGGGTTACGGTGGCCGAGGGAGTAGAATTGGGATTGGATGGCGCCTTGAGACGCGAAAGGGTTTCCAGCAAAAGCAGTCCCGTTGTCGTAGAGCCGAATTACCTTGCCTAGATTGGACGTCATGGACTGGGCTGGATGCATTTGGTTTATCTCGCCTGAGGAGATGTACAACGCGCCGTCTTCAGGACCGAATTTCAAACGACAGGCAAACTGAAGGCCGCCTGTAGCGCGCTGGGAGTGCCGCCAGATGACTTCGAGACCGGATAGCGCACCGCCGCTCCCACTTAGACTCAGCTTGGTGCGCGCGACCGCGCAGCCTGCGCCCCCAGACCCATTTTCCGCGTAGCTTATGTACACGATGCTGTTGTTGGAGTAGTTGGGGTGCAGAGCGATGTCGTGGAGGCCGCCTTGACCGGCGTACGCGACGGCGGGGACGCCGGTGATGCTGCCTTTGGTTTTGGTGGTTGGGTCGACGAGGAGGAGGTTGCCTTTTCGCTCTGTGACGAGGATGCGGGTGTCGGGGAGGAAGGCGAAGGCCCAGGGTTCAGAGAAGTCGGTTATGGGTGTTGTTTTGAAGGGTTGTTGGCGGGTGGATAGGTGGGGTGATGAGGCGAAGGCACTTGTTGCTAGTGCTAGAGCGTAGGTGAGGGAGAGGGTAGGGTGCATCATTGCGAAGGTAGGTGTTGCTTTCCGATGTATCGAGTTCAAAGATGTCCTAAAGTGGAGTTGTAGCCACCGTAAAGAGCCTCTTGGTTGTCTGTTTTCCGAGGCAGGCACGTAGGTATGTAGGCAATGGAAGGAGATCACCCTTTATTAAAACCTCGTCACATTCCGACCTCTGATGTGATGACATATACATAAGAAAAATTAAAGTACCAGCACTTTATTACTCTGGTGTTGGTGGTTCGTATGGGTGGGGTGAAAGAAAGGCTGTCAAGGATAGAGTGCCCAGATGTGAGGCTTGAAACCAACCTTGGGAAAGCGCGAAGTGATCGATGCCAGACAATTGGCAATTGACGTGTGGTATCTAGTTGCTCCTACTAGGGCATCGCTTGGCAAGTAACGGCAGATGCGTGCCGCTATATCAGGTGTGATACTTGCAGGCATGATATAGTAGCCAAGACTTTTGGGTAAGTGCTTAAGGGTCTGGCGTGACGTTGGAGCGCGGCATCAAATTTGCGCAAACACGTGGTGACGTCGAGAAGGAAGTGACGACGACTGACCCGATTGAGAAGGAGCAAACAATACCAACACCATGTAAACGAGATCAACTAGGATCGAGAGCGGGTACTGGAAGATAAGGCTCACCTAAAGAGTTGGCTTCACCTTGAGAGACGGTATCTCCGGTGTGAAAAAAACCAACGATAAAAACCACAGAAAGCAACACGAGGAATATGCAGTCTTAAAAGTTAGCAGAAAAGGCATGTTGAAGCCCCCTCTATAAACGATCTAACGAATTACAATACATAAACAAGAAGATTCTACAAACACCAGCGTGCCTTACCCTTTACGCACTACAAACACCCAACGCCGCCCCATGCCATGCTATGCGAAACAACAAAAACCCAAACCAGCAACACTCCTACCTCCGCGGCGTAGCCCTCGGCGTCGGACTCCTCTCCTTCACATCCAGCGCCCTCATACGCTCAACATTCGTATCCACACCCGTATCGCCCCCACCCTCAATCGAGGGAACAACGTCTTGAACCATCGTCCTATCACCCTCACCATCTTCATCATCTGCATACTCCTCCTCTCCATCATCATCATCCCCATACCTCCTCTCTGCATACTCCCCGCCGTCCATATAATCACCCCCTTCAACACTCTCCACAATACTATCCTCCAACCCCGCCTCATCCGCATCCACATCCAAACTCTCCCTCGACATGTAGCTTGCTTCTAGATCTTCGCCAAGCTCTGACCCCTCATCTTCACTCCTTATACTAGCCGCCTCAGTCCTCTCATCATCATCGTCGTCGTCTTCGTCTTCGCTATCCGTAAAATCCTGAATATCAAGCGGCTGATCGCGCCAATAATTAAAATCCGTATACGCCTCCCCACCCGCCGGAACAAGCAGCCCCACCGGCGGGAAAAAGTGATCAACAATCTCGCGCATGCTTGCGTAACCCGTTTTATAGCTGTTGAGCGACAAAACATCAAGACTGACTTCGGCGTTGGAGTTGATGGTGAAGATGCGGGTGGAAGGGATGTTGACACTGCGGTAGGAAAGCGCGTCTGTGAAGCGGTTACCGAAACCAGCGTAAAAAGGGGTTTGGTGCGCGGGCTTATCGAAGAGCTGCATGATATCTCTCAGACAAGCCATTTTGAAGACTTCGGGTTTGCGGAGGTAGATTTCGCGGCGGAGGGCCGCGATGGTGCGGTCTGGGCTCATGATTACGGGGCCTTTGGGGAGGCGGTAGTTGTCTTGGACTACGCCGTTGAGGTACGCGCGTGTGGTGTCTGCTTGGCCGACGGAGCGGCTGGTTAGGTAGAAGATGTTGTAGCCGTTGTTGACAATGTCGGTGTAGAGTTTGGCGACTCCTTGGTGTGTCCAGTCGCGGCCGATCATGTTGAGCACGTGGCCGACAGCGTCGGACTTGGTGATTGTGCCGTCGATGTCGGAGATGACGATGGGTACGTCGTGCTTCCAGTAGAACATGTAGGCTTCGCATTTGGAGCGGTTCACGGTGAAGCTCATGGTGTTTGCGCCGGGCTTTAGGTTGAGCGCTCGGAGTTGCTCGCTCGTGAGGCGTAGTGTTTTTGCGTATGTCTTGTGCTCGGATTTTCTGGCTTCGGGCGAGTGTGGCGCGGAGGAGCCTAGAGCACTGTCTGAGTCTCTGCGTAGGGGAAATTGGGCAGTGTCGTCGCTGCGTCCACTGTCGCTCTGGTAGCCGGGGTCTGACAGCGCATCAGTCGATTGGAGAGCGGACTCGTTCAGTACATTCATTGTCGTCTTGGCCATAGCCGCTGCCTTGGCCTCCTCACTGCTGTAGATCCAGAGGTTGCCGTTCTCGTCAGCGCCTATGAGGGCGCCGATGTCGTAGTCACCCGCGAGCTCATCCGACAGAATGCGCCTGGCTATGACCTCGGCGCGCAACGCATCCTCTTCGCTGCTCTTGTACCCAGTCATGTCTAGTTCGAGGTCGCCAGTCTCGGTGACCTTGTTCGGGATGTTCGAGGTAAAGAGCTTCTTGGACAGCTTGATCGCGCGGGCAAGGGCTTCAGCGGAGGACACAGGCGGCGGACTCGCTGAGCGCGTCGACCTGTTCCAGGCAGTCGCATCCTCCTTGCTGATCTGCAGCGGCCCTCTCTCGGGGCCCTTGTCCTGTGATTCCTCGCCGTCGAATGTCTTGGCAAAGCCGTCCTTTACAGAAGGCACCGTCTCATCCGTGCTTGCCCTCTGCATGTGGAAGCCCGACCAGTCCCCCGACTTGGGCCGTCCAAAGTCGGCGCCGGCATAGTCCGAGGCAGGCACCGACATGGACATGCGCCCTCGTCTCCTTGTAGCGCTACCGTCCAGGTCGAAAGGCTCGGGCTCGTCGAAGGCGCGCTCCGAGGGCAGCTCTACGGGCTTCTGCTCGGGACTGGCGGCGGGCGATGCGATGGGCGACGTCTGCATCTCGGCGGGGATGGAGCGCGTCGTCTCGAAGACGAAGAAGGCCTCGCCGCCCTCGCCCAGCTTCATCGAGTAGTCCTGCAGCTCGCCATTGACGCGGAACTCGACCTTCTTGTCCGAGGGGCGCAGTATCTGGTACTTGCCGAAGCGGACGTGGAAGGGCGAGCATGCCAGGCTGCCGTCCTCGTGCTCTACGACGATGGTGTCAATGGCGCCGCTGAGGGTGGCGGGGTTGATCGAGTTCCAGCCCTTGGACACGCTGCCCGTGATGGATCGCACGTAGTTCATGGTTGCTGTCTATGGGCTCGCGCCTCTTGCGCAGATGATCTCGTTTGTATGGTTCGTAGCGAGCGTCGGGGATGTACGTCAGAAGTGTTTTACACAGGGCGGGCGGATGGAAATGTGTCAGAGCGTGTTTGCATTCTTTCTTCACATGTCAGAGGGCTGCTTTCACCGAGGGAGGAGCGACCGGCCGAGCGTTGAGGGTCAAAGAAGGGATGTCAGGAGTGGAAGTACTTTTGCGCTGACGTGCCTAGGCAGTGGTGAGCTATGCGGTCACCGAGCTCGCGGGCGCATCACGGGCCCGAGGACGTCAGGCCGAGATCAAGTGACACCAGCGATGCGCTGAGCCGGAGTGCGCGGCAAGAATTTCCAGAATGGTACATCCAGAATGGTATATGTTGCGAGGGATGTCGTGCATACTGCATGGGCTAAGGTGCAGAATCGAGATGCTATCTTCACATGCTGGAACGGAGCACGCACATTGGAGAACCATTCGGGCTGATTGTATGTTGGGCCAGCCACAGGCTCAACCACTTCATGTAGATTATGGGGATGTCACCTCTCATGACTCTGCTATCGGACATCATAGTCAATGGAAGGTATCGCGATGATATCCTCAACACTGCCTAACTCGACTTTTCGACAGCCACCCTGCCCCGCTAGCTGCTTCTAGTAACTCTGGAAGATGAATGCGGAGGAGGTGCAGGTGTGGAGCAGCCAAGACGTCGAAATGGCCTGTAGCTTCGGCCATTTGCGGCGGTTGTGGCTGCACATGACGCCGCCAGGCACCGCGCAAACTTCACCCACCACGACCACCAGGTGGGAGACGCCTGACAGCTGTCGCCATGTTCTCGGAACCCTCACAGTCGCTGTACTGGCCGCCCGATGTCGCCCGCTACGACATGGAGGCCCTGCTGTTCTCGTCGTCGGGCTGGCTGCGCACGGCGTGCATCGTCTCGGCGCTCTTCTGGTAGGAATTGTATCCAAGAAGAAATACACGCGCACTTACTCACCGCGCATGCAGGGTCGCCTTCCGCGCCTACCAGGTCCTCACGCAGCCCGTCGAGAAGCTGGTGCAGGTGCTCGGCCTCGAAGTCCCCGTCGCGCCCCTCGTCTCCCTCGCTGGCATTAAGGCCGACGGCGTGCTGCTGCACTGGAAGCCGCCCGACCAGCGCGCCTCGGTCCTCAAATACGTGATCCGCATCAACGGCATCGACATTGGCGACATCTCCCCGCAGGAGTCGTCCATCACCATCGAGAACCTGCAGCCCGACCGCCACTACACCATCCGCATCGTCACCCTCAACTCGTCCAGCTTCCAGGCCCCGAGCGTACCCATCCGCCTGCGCACCCTGCCCGCGGACTCCGATGACTTCTACGGTCCCTCCCCACCCAAAGACGCGCCCCTCGCCAGCGACGACAATGACTACACCCCCACGCCCGTCATCCGCCCCAACAAGACCCTCGCCGATGTCGTCACCTCCGTCGCTGCCCCGCCCATGACCCGCGAACACAGCAACAGCACCTCCCGCATGCGCCGCCCAGACATCGGACGGAAGATCTCGCCAGCATCGCAGATGCAGGACCAAGGGAGGGCAGCGCAAGAGGCAGAAGGCCCAGACTCGATCCGGCAGTTGACCGAGAAGTTGGACGGCCTCAGACGCGAGTTGGACGACATGGAGCGCCAGATCCAGGACGAAGACCAGGAGTTTGTCACGCAGAAGGCCATCTTGGTGGACAAGCGCGACGAGAAGAAGGCGGCATTGAAAGAAAAGGAAGACGCCAGTCGCGACCTGCGCAAGGAGGTGGCGAGTCTTGAGCGTCAGAATGCTGCAGCCCAGACCAGACGCGCTCAGCAGGAACGGGTGCTGCGTCAAAAGGAAGCCGAGCGCAAGAAGCTGAAGGACGATGTTGCCAAGTGGACCAGGGAGGCGGGCGAACTCCGCGACACTGCTGAGAAGATCAAGAAGGAGCAGACCGAGTACCAGGCAGCCTCCGAGAAGCGCGTCCAGGACCTCAAAGACAAGTACGCCGACGAGACGCAGGCGAACAAGGTTCTGGAAGACGCCATCCGCGAGAAGGGCATCCACATCAAGGCTCTGGAAGAGGAGAGGCAGAAGCTGGAGGAAGGCCAAGAAGGCACTGAGGCGACGGACGGCCCCGACAATGCGGAGAAGGAAGAGGACAACCGCTGGAAGATGACGCTGGGTCTTCTGCAACAGCAATATGCTCAGGCTTGGGCGCTATACGCCGAGGCGGAGAGGGCGCATCAGGATGCCACGGGCAGATTGACCTACATGCAGCAGCGTCGCCTGAGCCAGCCGCAACTCTTCTCAGGACCGCCAGTACCAGAAATGGGGCCCGTCAGGAGGAACAGCCAGCGTGCGCGACCGCTAAGCATGCGCGAAGGGCTTCTGGCTCAAGCAACTGGTGGCTTCGTGCATACTTCATCAGCCCCGTTCAACAGCATCCCGACGACTTCATCACCTTCGTTCGCTACCGCCACGCCTTATTTCAACCCAGTCAACGGCATGGCATTGCCTCCTCCTCGGAACTACAGCACATCTTTCTCGCAGGCCGACTTTGAGAGCTTGACTGGCGGTGCGCCAATGAGTCCGACAGCCGGTGCATTGCTTCCAGCGGGATTATTTGGGGATGATCTAGGCTTGACGGAAGACGAAGACGACGACCCAGGTCCACCCCAAGCACCGTCGCTGGATCCTTCACCTAATATGAGAAACGTCCTACCTGGTCTTGGAGCCCCTGGAACCATGAACCACACGCAAAACTCGAGTTCACCAGCTTCTCCACAAAGCGGCTCGCCCAGTGCTCTAGCAAGTCCTCGGGACAGTGCTGGCGAACTCAACTTTTATCCCAGCAACGACAATAACATGGACAACGACAGGCGCTCCATTCACTCAACATCCAGTTCCTTCCAGATCAACCCCCAAGCCAGTCGTTTTGGTGGGCTCTTTGGACTGAACCGAGCACGGGGCAAGACGTTCTCCGATGAGGGTCCAGCGTTGGGCTCCCTGAAACCGTCACAAAGTCAGTCACTACCCCGCCAGGACCATGGCATTGACGGTCTGGGTAACACTCGCCGTCGCGGTAGCCATTCTGAAGGCGCATGGTACGACACATTCATACGCACCAAGACTCAGCCGATTGAGTCGCTTAGTAGTCCAAAGCATGTGGCTACACGCAAACGACCGTTCAACATGTTCAGCAGCGCTAAGGGAGGTGAAGACCCATGGCTACGTAATATTCTAGGCATGCAGAGGCCGGAGTCTCCGCGTCAGGGCTCTACAAACTCAGGAGAAGGCATGGCTTTGCCACGTCCATCGACTGAAAGCCAGACGCGCTTCGGCTGGAATGTGGATGCCTTTGGTGCTCGGGCTAGTCCTCTTGGAGTCGACTGGAGCGTCAACAACACCAACACCACTTCATGGTCACGGCTAGGGTCTCGTCGACCCTCGATGCAACACACGTCGAGCGCGAACCTAATCAACGACGACATCCACGATGATGTACTGGACTTTCCTTCAAACACACGCTCACCCACTCAAGCGCCGATTGGCACTCGACCGCAGTCATCTGCGTCCCACATGCCAGCCCAGCCGTCGACCTCATCACTCCCACCCATCCCACCCACGCCACCAAAGCAGCTCAACCCCGCAGCAGCCAGCTTCACCATGTTCCAACTCGGCAAGAAGAACGAAGAAGAAAAAGCCAAGCGCGCCGCCGAGAAAGAAGCCCGCCGAGCCGAAAAGGCAGAGAAGAAGGAAGAAAAGGAAAAGAAGGTCAAGGCCGACAAGGCGGAAAAGGCTGCCCGCAAAGATAAGCACGCCACGCCTTCGGAAGCCGGCGACGCCAGAGACACAACTTCTCCTCATGATTCCCGCATGTCGCGAGACACTCCTTCTATCATCTCTACGGCTGACGCCTCAGAAGCCTCCCCCCGCGAATCTCTCGAGCGGAGTATATCCCACACTGCCTCCGACGCCGCGGGTTCCATCGGCAAAGAATCCTTCATGCAGAAACTCACTCGCAAGGGTAGTACCAACCAGTTCCTCACGTTTGGCAAGAAGAACGCGCTCTTCTCCAAGTCCGCCAAATCCGATGTACCCAGTACACCTGATGAGCATGACGAGGAGGGTTCAACGAGCGGGTTCTTTGGTCTGGGCAAGAGTACAGAGAGTGTGGGGAATAGTCCTCAGATTGGCACGCCGAAGAGTGGGACTACTGGTGGTGTTTGGGGGAGTATTACCAAGAAGATTGGGAGGAAGGAGAAGGATAAGACGCCGAGTTTGCATGAGAGTGTTGCTAGTGAGGCGACGGGGGATGAGGATGATGTGGTGGGGTTGGGGGTTGCGTGAGGGAGGTTGTAGCTTTGCGTTCTGCATGTTGTAGTAATTAGCAAATGTATGGTTCTCTGATCATTGTGTTATAGCACGCGTGGTTCTCGTGCTGTGTTCGTTTTGTCTAGTGCATGATAGAAGCTAGGCGCTGTGCAAGGCTCACGATTGCTGTATCATGAGTGAGTATCTAAACATAAGTTGCTTTGTTGTATCTTCGTAATAACAACTAATTCTCCTTCACTTGCGGTTCGCTAGTGCAACTTTTCCCCAGATTCCACTTGAGCCGCATGCAGGTGCCAAGCCTTCGCGTCGTCTGTCGCAACTTCACCAACGCGCCTCGACCTCACTCACCTACCAACATCACGCGCACCCACCACACCACCCACCATGGCGTCACCCGCCGCAGAACCCATGCAGAATGGCATCTCAACGCCGCCTGCGACCGCTAATGCACCCACACTCAGCCCACCCACCCAATCCCAACCGCAACCCTCACAGCCAACTGCGCAACCATCGCAACAGTCCAACGGCGTACCCAGTACCGCACCGATGAACCCCGCCTTCCCACCAACATCCCTCTCCGACCCAGGAACCAGCAAACGCCCCCGCGACGCCCGCCTCATCCACCTCATCCTCGCCAACATGGGCGTACACGCCTACACCGAGCGCGTCCCCCTCCAACTCCTCGACTTCGCCTACCGCTACACCTCGTCCATCCTCTCCGACGCCATATCCTACGAACCACCGCTTCCCACCACCTCCGGCAGCAAGAAACGCGGCGCGAATGCCGATGGCAGCGGTGAAGACGCCGTGAGTCTGAATGCGCTTAGGACAGCTGTGGGAGCAAGAGCCGCGGGCGCGTTTAATACGTCTCTGGGTAAAGAGTTTATGAGTGAGGTGGCGCAGGAGAGGAATAGGATTGCGTTGCCGAGGGTTGAGCGCGAGTTTGGGATTAGGTTGCCGCCGGAGAGGTATTGCTTTACGGGTGTGGGGTGGGGGGTTAAGGGGGCGTGGGAGGAGAGTGTTGAGGATGAGGGGCAGGATGAGGATATGGAGGTTGATGGGGAGGGGGCTGGGTTTGCGGGAGGGCCTGTGGGCACGGTGAATGGGGCGCCGGCGGCGGAGACGGAGGCGAAGGATACGGATATGGGGGGTATGGAGGAAGATGAGGAGGTCGATGACGATGAGTTTGAGGAGGCTATGGGGATTAACCAGGAGAATAACGCTTGAGCTGGAGGCTTGACTTGAGCAAGCTGCTGCTGCAGCACAAAGGTGTGACTGGGACGGCGTTTGGCGGGACTTGAGCATTTGTTACGGCGTTATGGACTGGACTGGACTGGACTGCGAGGTATACCAGAGAGCTGGATAAAAAGCTTTCGTTCCCGCGCATGAGCCGCGCATCCTTTTGAAACAACATGGCGGCGAGTATTTACACGTTATAATACAATATACATCCGCTCCATCCTCCACCCTCCGTACACCCTCCGTACACAACACCCACCCCCCTCATCTCGACCCATAAACTCCACCCCTAGTAACGCCCCTATCATCAACCCTATTCTCCTCTTTCCTCCTCAGTCCCTCCTCATTAACCGTTTCCGCCCTCTTCCCCAGCGTCCTCCCACTCTCATCTAGATTCCACCATTCTTTGTGTTTTTCCCGCGCATCTTCCAGCTTTCTTTGGTGGTCTATCCTTGCCTATCACAGATGTCAGTGAAGCCTCCCACAGATACAGTGCGAGAGTTAAAAGTGTATGAGACTTGATATAACATACCTGCCTCCTCTCCTCCGCCAACGCAAACCACTCCAACCTCGCCTTATCCAACTCATCCTGATTCTGATACTGTAACATGCAACTATTCATCGCCAGTCGTGGTTGGCGACACGCGTATATCATTGTGAAGGTGCGGCCGAGGGCGCATTGGGCGAATGCTATTGAAGGATACGGATTAGCTACGCTACAGGTTGCTAGGTATAAATGTATAAAAACGTACTCTCAATCTCCTTTGCGCATTTCGCCCGCACGTTTTTGTAGTACAGGTCTTTGACTTGTTGTTCTTGGGGCGCGGATAACGGTGTGGGATTTGTGGGTGTGCGGTTCGTCCCGATTATCATGCGGTCTTCGGTGTTGGCCATCGTGGGCTATTGGGGGGACTATCCTGCCCAATGGCCTAGGAGGTATGTCTGTGGTGGAACGAGGTAGTGTGATTGCGATTGTGTGCGTGTACGAGATGGACGGAGGGGTTGTAGCGAGTGACGGTCCTAAACTGGACGAGGTGCGCGATGTGGTGGGTTGGTGGGCGTCTTTGCGGACTCCCGGCGGTGTTGAGGTTCGAGACTGGATTGGATTGGCAAGATTGATGTTATTCGGAGTGGGGCATGTCCACGCAGTTCAGAGGTGAGGATACGGAGCGGGTACGTCGGAGGTTGTGGGCTTGGTTTGGCCGATCTGGGTGAGCCGAGGCATGTGAGCTTGTGGAACGGCGTTCGTGGTTTGGGTTTCACGCGCTTTCAGTTACGCTTCTGCTTTACATCACGTAGACACGAGCACAGCTAGAAATTCCGAGTTGCAGCATTATATTCGTCTAACTACCGATCCATCCACATCCCCACCCTCCCCCACAATGAAGATCGCAGACCGCACCTTCCTCATAAGCGGCGGCGTCTCAGGCCTCGGTCTCGCAACCGCACGCGCCCTCCACGCCTCTGGCGCATACGTCTCGCTGCTCGACCTCAACGCCTCCAACGGCTCCAAAATCGTGTCCGAACTCGGCTCCCGCGCAAAGTTCTTCGAAACCGATGTCACAGACACCGACGCCATCGCAACCGCAGTCCGCGGCACAGTCGCGTGGGTGAAAGAAACAGGAAAAGACATTGGAGGCGTGGTAGCAGGAGCAGGAGTAGGAATGCCAGGCTTAATCATCGACAAGAAGAACGAGCCGTTGAGCATTGAGAGTATTGATTTCGTGCTCAATATAAATTTGAGGGGGACGTTGGATTTGGTCAGGCAGGTGGTGCCGCATATGACTACGACTACGCCTTCGAGTCCTGATGGGACGCGCGGTGTGATTATCATGATTGCGTCGAGTGCGGCGTTTGATGGACAGATGGGTCAGGTTGCGTATGCGGCGTCGAAAGGGGCGGTTGCGAGTCTTACACTGCCGCTTGCACGCGATCTGTCAAAGTATGGTATTCGTGCTGTGACGATTGCGCCGAGTATGTTTGATAGCGCGATGACGCGCATGATGAGCGACAAGGTGAAGAAGAGTCTGGAGAACAGTATGGAGTTTCCCAAAAGGGCGGGGCTGCCGGAGGAGTTTGCGAGGTTGGTGGTCGAGTGTGTGGGGAATGAGATGTTGAATGGCACGGTTTTGAGGCTGGATGGCGCGATGAGGATGCCGGCGAGGCTGTAGTTGTATTTATTTGGGTATATGGTTTAATGAGGGCTCAGCGCTTGCGCTCCCTGATCTTGAACTTGACGCCGTTCTTGTTGACTCCTCCGACGGTGTTGTTCATCTTTGCGCGCTGGAGTTCGAGTTCTTCTTCGGCGGCCATGAGTTCGCTCTCCCGCTTCTTGAGTGCGCGTAGTCTTGTTACGTGGCGCTCTTGTGCTCGCTCTCTTTCCTTGCGGAACTTTCGAGCTTCTCTCCGTGCTTGCTCTTGTGCCTCTATCTGCTTCTTCGATAATGTGTTCGGTCGCTGGATAGGCGTTTCGTCGTCGTCTTCCGATAGCTCGTCTTGTAGGTCTCCAAAGGTAGGCGACTCCTTGCGCGCAGGAATTTCTTCGCCGCGCCCAAACCAAGTGTCTGGTTCAAACTCCTCTTGTTCCTCTTCGTTGTCCACGAAGACTCTGTGCTTGCCCTGCTTTGTCCTCGCCGCATCCCTCACAGCACGCACCTCGCCCTGCTCCTCCATTATCAGCCGCTGCTCTACCTCCTCCCTCTCTTTGCGCGTCTGCTGCAGCATAGTGCGAATGTATCCCGCGTCCTGTGTCTTCAACAGCTTGACCACCTCCATGCTGAGCGCCTTGTTGCCCCGGTCCGCCACTCGCTTCCCTGTCTTGTCCACCTTGGACGACATCATCTTGAAGGAGAACTCATCGGGATTGCGGTCCTGAGCCTTCTGCTTCAGGATCTTGAGTTTGGCCTGCTTCTGCTTGTGGTCGTGCGCGCGCAGCTTGTAGTCTTTGCGCTTCTCGAGGAGACCCCATTTTGCGCGCTCTTCGGGTTGCGCGCGCTCCTTGTGGTTGCGCCGCTGAACGGCATTTCGCATGGACGACATTTTGGGCGGTGGGTAGTGTGGCGCGTTGGTTGTGTAGAGATGTTGAATTGCTCGAGACTTTTCGGTAAGCCTCCGCTGCCAAGACTTCGGCCCACTCCACTCATCTGCTAGTCCGAATGGACATCTGCGTGCTGTTTCTCTCAAACATCGATGATTTTGGTGATTATTGATCAAATTCACTTCTCGTCATGGCACTAATCTATCTAAAACGACAAGACGCTCATAGCACGTCATTCACCAGTGTAGAAAGTATCGCGGCACTCACATTGTCCAGGCGTCATGATCTCCACGTGTTTACCGCATTCGATCTTGAAACACATCATAGGAAACGTTCCGCACTTGCATTGCCTATCCAGGCTTATGCAATATGGATCTGTCCTTCCAATGGCGCCGGTTGGTGGAAGTACGGAGCGGAAAGTTTACGATATGGATTGTGCCCATGGAACAGCACACCTGGGCATCGTCGGCCATGATGTCCATCCTCAAACGCCGTCGGATCGGGTACTTACTGCCAGCCGCCCCATATGAGATGTTCTAGTGCGGGTGGATGGGTGCTTCCGCTGATAGGAGCCGTTCACCGATGGACGACTGCCAATCATCGGTGAGCAACTTGATCGTGGTTCCTCGCGGGAGTCGCGGAAACGGACCATAGAGGTATGCAAGACCGGAAGTGTGGATCCAGAGGTACCCATATGTAAGCCTAGACCTTGTACTCTTTGACAGAATCTTGAGTCCAGCGAACGAAGATGCGTGAGCGGTGACTGCGTTGACTCCTTTACGACGTGAAAGCACGACCAGCCAACAACACATCTTCGCCGAGGCGATCTGTTCTCAAAACGGAACGGAACATTTCGTAAGAAATCTGATCGCATACCACTCACCCAGAGATCGACTCCAGAGATGATATTTCACAAGAACCATAGCCCATCTCCCAACTGAAACGCCAAGTCATCACCAACCCTCCGCCCAGGAATCCTTCCAAACACCCCGGAAAATTCTCTACCGACATACGGCGCTGCACTAATGTACCCCAGGTCTTCCCCAATATACAGCAACGCCAAAACACCGTCACCTGTGTCATAGATACTGTTCGACATCACACAACTGCACATTCTCGACTCATGGCGTACGGAAAAACATGTCAACGAGAAATCCCGCGAATCACGAAATGTCCAGGGCGTATTGCTGTTATGCAGTGTAGATCGAAATAGTGAGGTTGTGGTGGTGGGCATGACCATTCTAACCACCGGTAAGGGTAACAGCAACCTCAGCCCCTAGCCAAGCTTGACTTACCATGGCGGAAGACAATTCTCCACCATTCTCCACAAATACTACAGTGTCTTGGCTTGCCGGACGAGATCCACAATCCAGGGTCTCATCCACCCCGTAGCAATTTCACGACGTCCGTAGAGGGCTACATCGGTGTCTAGATCTGGTTGGCGATGCAGGTATCGTGGAGAGGTGGGTATCGAGGATGTATATAAAGGCACTGGGGATTCCGAGTGGTAGACCAGCAGCTCACTCATCTCTTCTCTGAGTATTCAGCCCATCTACAAAGTTCCACAAGACTCAGCAGCTCTTCCAGTCCATTCTCCAACTTACGCACTATCATCTTGCCATCATGTTGTCCCAAGTCGCACTCCTCTCCCTCGTCGCCAGCATGGCAGCTGCGCAGACCCTTAACATCCCCACTCGCTCCGGCAGCATCGTCTCACTCCCCCAGCCCAGCACCATCACCGGCAGCGTCAACTTCGGTAACAAGGAGTTCGACCGCGGTCGGCCTTGCAACTCAGATGAGGACACTGGCAGCGACAGCGCTGTCTTCATCCTCCAGAACGGCGCGTCCATCTCCAACGTCATCATTGGTGCGAATGCGCTCGAGGGCGTGCACTGCTTGGGTATGTTTTACATTCATCTCGCGACCCTGCAAGAGTGGTATTGATATATATGTAGGCTCCTGCACCCTAACAAACGTCTGGTTCCGCGACGTCTGCGAAGACGCCATCTCCATTCTTGGTAGCGGAAATGCCCTCATCCAAGGCGGAGGCGCCGCTCAAGCCAGCGACAAAGTTATTCAGCACAAGTACGTCCTCCAATCTCCCCTCTCCCTCCCCCTTCCCCACCCACAAACTCCCAAACACAACCCCCAGACACGTACTAACACACCCACCCCCCTCAGTGGCGCCGGCACGGTAACCATCAAAAACTACACCATCGTCAACGCAGGAAAGCTCTACCGCTCCTGCGGCGACTGCACCGACAACAGCAAAAAGTCGCCCCGTAAAGTCATCGTCGAGAACGTTCGCGCCTTTGGGCTTACCTCCGATCTCATCGGCATCAACTCCAACTTCGGTGACACAGCCTCCATCAGTGGATCGTGCGGAACGACGAAGAAGGTGTGCCAGGAGTACAAGGGTGTTAACAAGGGGAATGGGAGTAGCAGCAAGGTCAGCTCGACGAGTGCTTGCACGGGTGCGCAGGGGAAGTTGGAGAAGCTGCCGAGCTGTTAGGTGGTTGTCGATGGCCAAAACCTCGTATTCGTTACAGAGGTATCGGCGGGTGGTTGATGCGTCTTGAGTCTAGCCGAAGAGACGTGGTGCTGGGAGATGTGACCCCGGGATTATGTATATATTCATGTTCACTTTGAGATTGTATATAGCTATCACAGCAGCGATGAGGATATGATCAATTGTATTGGTATCTTTATGCAGTTTGGTCCTCTTGAGAGACAGCTTTTTCGTGGTTGTGTTGCAAGTGCACGTAAAAGAGGATATGCTTGAAGCGTCTACTGAATACCGTTGCATACTGCCCACACAAGTACGCGGTTAGTCGAAATACCAGATCTACAGCAAACGTGACTAATACCAGGTTGCATTGAATTTCGTAGCTGTACACAGGAGACGTAAGGTAGTCAGGGACTGCCTTGCATCAAGATTACTACATATAGTACTTGATCGCGTCTTATTGCCCTGCTCTGCATTCACAATCCGACGTAACACCGTTGCATACGTGCAATCTCACCCTTTGCCGGTAGTACCCAGCACGGCTTCATGCACAAGCGCATACATGCATGCTGCTCACGCTTCCTCGACCTCTTCAAGATACCTGTCCGAAGCTATCTGCGCCCGTGACCGAGGGTCAGGTATACCCGCCACATGGTTAGGAAGAAAGAATGTACGGACTTCGTAATATCTCGGGAGATCAGGTCTACCGGGTATACGAACGCCTAAATAGTCCTCGTCGATGGCGAAGTATCTTACGAATACGTCCAGCCAGTGTGCGACATCCTTCTTGTTGCGCAGTATGATTCGAATGTCTGAAGCATCGTCTTTTTGCAAGTTCTTTCGGATTACAAAGCCAGAGGTAGCGTATTTCTCTGGCAGGCTGACTTCGAGAGGTGGTGGAGCGTGTCTCTGGCGAAGAGAGCCCACATAACCGCCCACGGCAGTATCTAGACCCACGTCGAGATAGTCGAGATCCGGGCATTTCTGCAGGCCCTGGGCAATGGAGCGCCAATTACCGTCGGTCAGAGACATACCCTCAAATTCGACGTGTTGTAGTGTTCCCGCATGTCGCTTGACAAAACCCCGAAGACGACTCCCGCTCACGTAGCCGTGATAAAGCTCCAAGTGGGTGAGATTCGAATACGTGTTCTTCGCGAAGAGATTGACCCATATATCTTCGCATCCGTGACACAGTCGTAGACGTGATGAGTTGTTGCATCCGTAGTATGTGATTGTCTCCACGTCCGAGAGTTTAGCGGCTAGGTTTGATAGCGATGGGGTGACGGACCTGTAGTCGGAGTAGTGGGACCCGTTTTCGTTGGTCCCCATTTGCCATTCCCTCTCTTCCGGGTTCATCTCTTCGAAGTCCATGAATGATGAGGCTCTAAACTCCATATGCGAAATGAGATGCGGTGACTGGGATAATGGATTCCAGAATTCGTCGTGCGAGTGTCCGTGGAGGTTCTTTGGCTCCGCTTCGACGTGTAAGATTCGGCGGGGAAAAGACGCGAGGTTAAGTGCCTTGAACACGGCGGGGTATGCTGTCTCTTCGCATAGGTGGATCTTGAGCAATGAAGTTGATCTTGCTAAGTTCTTGAAGCTTTCTATTAGGACGTGGAGCGCTTCAGGAGAGTTTGCAAAGGCTGTCCGTTCTTCGCAGTGCGAGCTGTCCTCGGAGTCCTCAAGATCCCAGAAGTAAGTTGACGACAAATAAGACTCACTCGAATATGGCCCCGTGAATATGATTTTGTGGAGTTGGTCTCGGAAATAAGGGACGCTGCTTATTGAGAACAGGACGCCGAGAGATTTGTAGGAAAGATCCACTACGAGGTTGTCTAACATTTCTCCGTAGACAATACCGACGTCGAACAGCGTTTTCTGGTAGATCTCCCGGCAAGACAGTCGGAGGGACTTGAGATCTTGAGGAAGCGTACAGTCAGAAAGATCATCTTCCTCAACACTGAAGTCACAGGATTCTTCCGCGACGATGAAGCGACAGATTCTGCTGAGAATCTCCGGCGGTAGCGCAGATAGTGTCATGGCTGCGGGTCTCCGGCGGCTTGGGTGAGGTATGCAAAGAGATGACGAGAGCGACCTGGCTGTAGACGACGTAACCTCGAGAGCCGCTGTTGAAGATACTGCGTCGTTGTGTCGGGGACGCAGTCATTTGGCCATGTATCAACCTTAGGCAACAATACCCGCTAGCACGGACCCAGTTCTTAACCGAAAGCATCGCTGCTTCGAGTGAAAGAGCTTAACGACAGCAGAACTACAGCGTGGTGCTATCCTACAGCACTTCACTTGCGTACCCTAATCAACGATCGCAAGTTTTTTGACGCTACCTACTATACTACTACTCAGACGCACCGTCAACGAGCGTGAACACAAAAGCAGGTGCAAAATAAAAAGGTCCATCTCCCCCATCATCATAACCTCCCATCAACATTTCCATACTCAGCAAGCTCCACTTCATTCAACTGACTCCTCGCTCTCATACTACTCCGTAGCCACTACAAGGGCAGCGGTACCGGTTCTGATGACAGAGAAGAAGAGTGACAGCAAAGATGAAGAAGTGAAGAAAGACTGAAGTTACAGGGGACGGTCTTAATACGAAAAACAAGACGGCCGCATCGATATGGAAGAAACAACACTTTACGATAAGTCGATCTACCTGGTCTGTAGAGATTGCGAATCGGAACCCTCTCTATCGGGGCCTTCGCGAAGTTGCATGCGTATAGTATGCAATAGAATAGAAAGCGAATGACACTTGCTGGCCGTACCAATTGGTACCCGGTCGGCTGACTTATACTGAAGTAGTGAGAGCGTACGCAGCGGGTGTTTTAACCTAGGAGTCTGTCAAGGTAGTGTCAAGTTCGAGCACTTCATACTAGTATGGTAACCTCACGATCTTGACGTGCAACATGACCAGACCATGCACTGAGACACTTTCTGATCTTGTTGGATATGTATATAAGACAGTGTCGTTGGTCGTTAATGAAAGTGGGGTAATATACAGTCTATGCTTCTACAAGCTACCATCCAGTCCAAATGAGTGTGCCTTTATCAATCCTTCCTTTCTCTCGTGCAAAGGACCCAGGTGCTGTCCTGGGTTGCCACTTTGAGCCATGGAGAGCTCTTCTTGACCTTCTCGCATTCGTTGACTCGAAGCGATCCTCACTTGCTCTGATCGTCCTTCTTGCTTTCGTCCTTCTTCTTGCCCTGATCCTTAATCTCGACAGAAGACCCCACGAAGGGTACACCCAGCCTCTCGGCCATACCTTCTCTGCTCATTGTTGCTAAGTGACTAGCAGCGTCTTGCCTTCGGTTTTCGATCTCTTCGGCCGCATTCTGTCTGATCTTTGCGTACATTTGAGCTTTCTGTTCGTCGGTGAATTGGTTTGGGTTTCCGCCACCCGTGTTGTTAGAAGAGGAAGCCATGGTCTGGATGTATGGTATCGAGAGATAGGAGTCTTCAAGTATCGACTGCGTATTCGAGAGGTATTGGTAATGTATCTTTGAGTGTATGTAGTGTATCTTGTAGTACGATAGTGATGAATATGGTGCCCATTGTTTCTACACCCATTGTCGCTTTTTATACAAGACATGACTCTTACAGACAATGCGTGACTCTCGAGAACAATGTATGATTGTGTCGAAAAAACAGTCAAGAGTATTGCTTTACCGTCAGGTAATCCGTGCATGACTACTGACTGGATAATGTAGTCATTGTGTAACCATGTTGTGAGTCGCGTAACGAGGAGTCAACACCGTCCTACAATCTGAACATGATTGAACTGGTATGTGGTGGAATGCGCATCAGATCATCGAGTCTGGATGAGGTGTCTATTTCCACTTGGGTACAAGTTCTGGGCGTATACTTCGAGATCTGGACCTTTGCGGTGAGCTGATAAGTGCACATTGATTCACATCTATACTGGACCAAGTCGACGCAGGGCCAGATGGTAGAAAGCATGCCACCAGCGGCATGGTAGCAATCAGAAGCAACCAAAAGACTCAAGGGCTGCCAGGTAACCTAGACACGTACATGATACTACGTCGCTGCATGAGTGCTTCGACCAAAACGATGAAGTCGCAAGATGTATGGGGACACACATTGCCCATTTTAGATATTGTTGACATTGGAATGTGTCGAACGGCACACATTAATACTCATGTGTGCTGCTCAGTCATGCATGACAGGAGGAAGTTATAGTGTTTCCACCACATTATGAACAAACGTCGGAGACACGTATTTAAGTTCATCGATGAGATCGGCTAGGTCTATGCGCAGTACATCTCCACCATCTCAACGCGTCGAAGCGCGATCCTACTAGATAACAGCCATTCCTTCAGTAGCTTTCGCATTCATCCTCATGGCATGAACACTGCAACGGAGAGTTCTCAAAGACCCTTGCAGTTGTTAGCGCGCATACACGTTCATAGGAAGAGACATATACATACCTCAATCGTCGAGTATACGCCGTGTTATATTCTTCCAATACCCACATGAGATAGCGCAAGATCTGCGCCGCACAGTGCTCGAACGGGAAGAACTGCTCGCAGTCCTCGAATTTGCATTCATACCGGTGGAATTTCGGGCGGTATCGGCGGTCTTTTGGATGCAAGGAATCTACGCCGAACCAAGATCCGCAGAACCTCATTGTGGATGCGGTATCTACGTCGTGATCAATTCGACCATATGTATAGGGTACAGCCTCCTTTCCCACCACCTCTCCTAAACCGTTGATCCAAATCAAGTCGGGGTGGTGTAAAGATTGGTCAGATGCGTGGACGTCCATCATCATTGTTGTTACAACGGTCAAGCGGAGCTCCTGGAGAGAGATAGTACGTTCTGCAACGAGATGCTGGCCACTTGTACCAGGAGACAATGAGCGAATGGTCACTTCGCGGTTTCCCGGACTTGAAGACGTCTCTAGCACCAATGGTAGTATGCTAATGCCCAAGTCTTCTAAGGCGGTTGGTTCTGGCAGGTTGAAGTCCAGTACGATGTCGAGCTTGTCGGCATCCTCAATTATCCAGGTTTTTCTCTTCAAACGTGAAGCGTTGGCCCATTCCATTTCCTCAGAATCTATGGGTATGGGAAACTGATGGCGTAGAAGGCGTGCGAGTTTACCAAATTTGTTGAACGTGCTACGCTTCTCTGTCGACCGGAGAATTAACGTATACGGGGTTGAGTACAGTATATGACTGTGATGGTTCTTATAGAACTCTTGATTAATGTGACCAAGACCGAGTGGAAGCTTAGTATCGACGTCCAGATCTATGCGCACTTCTTTTGGGTGAGAGGCCACTTCCGAGATGATTTTGTAGAGGACCTGGCTATGCAGACCAAGCAGGGTAGGTTTTGGGCGTGTTGGGGAAAGCCGTCGCCCATCGTCCCCAGCAACGAAGCTGTGCTGTTGATCGTCATCAGGTACCATTCGTGAGTCGTCCCAACCATTTCTAGCCGCTCTCAAGCCGAATGAGCCGCCGCGTCCGTCGTAGTCAATTGCGACTGCCCAGACCTGGCTCCGAGATGCCTTGAGCATTAGTTGGCCTTCGAGAAGCGAACGGACAACAGTCGTTATGGCTGAAGCATTGAATTTTATTCCGTTGGCGGACAGGTCATTGATGAACGTGATATCTACAGCAAGGTTACAGTCCCAAAGGAATTGGAGTAATGGTCCGATGTTGAAAGACTCAAGATGAGGTCTTTTGTAGTCTTCAAAGCCCCGGTATCCTGCCCAGGCCCAACATTTGGAAAGATCAATAGAGAATTTACGGTGCCAGAATACATGAGACCCTAGTTTTCTGAGCCATTCCTCGTAGACAATTATAAGTTGTTCGATCTCTTCTGTACTCTTTGGATTGTTTCGTTCGATAACGAATGTGTTGTTGGCGTAAAATAACGAAGCCACTTCAAGGTAGGTAGTTCGACACGCGAGCAAAAGATTCTTGTGCATTTCAAATCCTGCACCAAGATAGAAGTGCCTGGCTGAATTAAGGCCGTATTCGAGTTCGATTACGATTGGCTCCGAGTATTCGACAAGATATCCAAAGATGTGGTTTCGAATCTCAGCGGGCAGCTTGACGAGAGAGTGCCTGCTTGGGTCTATCGGCTTTGATTCGCCGGTGGCTATAGGTGAGGGGACAACATATCGAGGCATTTTAGTGTCTCTTCAGGATCGAGCAATTAGCTTGGTGGGTGGAGTGGACGAGGTAGTTGGTTGAGAGCTCTGCTGTGAACGAGAGTACGATCGCCCCACAGTATATAGGGGGTAGAGACTAGAACTTCCCACACGGTTGCTCGCAATGCTGTAGCCTTGATCCAAAGACTGAAGTGAAACGCTAGATTTGCTGCTTCTGCAAAGCTAAAGAGTGGCAGATGTGGCGAGCTCCAATCCTTTGCCTCCGCTTTTCGCAGTGAACTCGGTCATTGGGTCGCAATAGTAACGCGGCGGTGTAGCTTTCTGACCATCACTGGGAGCGTCAGCCCAACAGATCAAGCCCCCAGAACCATCCTTCTTAACCGCCACGGCACGCACTGCATCCCTCTTCTCCCTAAGCCCCAACTGCCCCTCGAGCAGTGCATTAACAACACCCATAATCTTCTTAGCGCACTCTCTCTCAGAATTCCCCATCCAATACTCCGCCCTCTCTTCCTCCATACCCGTATCGTCTACATCGATAAGCCTAATCTCAAAGTCAAGACCGCGACTCCAAGCCACACGCAGCAACACCGTAACTTCCACGACATCCATTCTCGGACCAAACGCTCTCGTCCCTTCATACACATATGTATGGAGATATACACTATCTGGGAAAGTAAAAGTATCGAAAACAACGCTTCTCACGAGCCCAGCTCTTGAACCCACAGTATCGAAAAACTTGACGAGCGCGCTGACGAAACAGGGGCGCGCGAAAGTAGCGAATTTGCTTGTTCGGTTCAGCAGGAAGGTGTTGGTGGAGTAGAAGAGTGATGATGCTTCTGCGTTGATTTGTCGGCACGTTAAGAAGAAGGCGGTGGGTATCGTGGTGTTGGATGCATATGGCACAACGGGTTTGGGCGTGTTGCTTTCGGGATCTTGGTAGAAGTAGAGACGGATTGGAGACGGGCGGTCGCAGAGGTGGTGGTAGATTTTGTTGCGAAGCTCGGCGGGGAGGGCGAGGAAGGATGGGATGTCGGGTGCAGCCGGTTTTGACTTCTCACTGTTGTAAGATGTTGTAGCAGCGAGCATTATATCTAGCTGTGCTCAGGAAGATATCTAGAGGGTTGATGGAGGAAGTTTAGAAGTAGGAGGAAGTACATGCCTGTGTCTAAATCCCATCGCCTGGGCGTGGTATACACTCATAACTATGATATGCACTGAATGCAGCGAGAGATTTCGTTGCTTAATGAAGTTCATGCCCATGAATTACAGCCGCACAGTCACCGACTTCGAGTCATAGCTGGCGGGGTTGAAGAGTCACTTGACTAGATGACGCATTTCCTATAGGTATATAGAAGTACACATCTCAGACCAGCGTAGAGTGTTCGCATCTATTGTACCTCTTCCTTGTAGAGGGTGATAAACCGTCTCGTAAAGTTCATTCTGCCTCTGCATCTACCTTTTATCTCGACACAAGATACTGCCAGTCAAGCACGCTCGACATGTCATCATTATTTTTTCTAAGCGGACAGTCATCTTCGCAGGCGCAAGCAAGCGGCGGAGCCTTCAACCTACACCCTGTTAGTAAAACCATCCAGACTATCAAAGGCGCATATAAATTCGCAACTTACGTCTTGAAGTAATCAGGATAGTCCTCGATACTCTTCATAAGATACAGCAAAGTCTCCTTTTTATCAGCCCTAAAAGGGAAGAACTGCGTATCGTCATAGTATTTACATCTCAGATCTGCTTCACACTCCCGATACTTGCGATCGATAGGATGGAGAGTTCGAACGGCAACGGGGTGGTATATTCCAGGGCCAATCTCCGAGGCAGGATCCCAGGCTCCACCCGTGTCGTCAACCGAATCGTGGACAGTCTCAACGATATCTCCGAAGCCTTTGGCCCAGAAGTCGGGAAGGTATGACATGTTCGATATTCCTGTGAATGCACAATCCAGAATAGCTTTGATGACGTTTAGTCGTAGTTTGGTGAGAGTCATGGTGTGGGTAGCTGTCATGGCCGAGGAGCCGTCGGGCCCAGGGGTCCATATTTGGATTGTTACTTCATGATGGGGTAGTGTAGTTGAGGTTTCCATCACAAAGGGCAGGATGTTGATGCGGATATCGCTCAGTGTGGCTGGGCTACTCAGATCGAACCTGAGGATGTAGTCTACGCCGGTTGGACGAGAATAAAATTCGCTTGATGTTGCAATAGTCCTCATCGACTCATCTGCGCGGGAAGGTTGAGTCACCGGCTCACGGCTGTAGTTGGATTTGAACGTCTTGCGGAGGAACCGTCTCAGCTTATCGAAGTTCTGGAATGTAGTGCGAATTTCGCTTGTTGACATCGTCAGGGTGAAGCGGTTGTGGAACAGGAAATGCGACCTCCAAGTCTCGAAGATTTCCTGATTGGTATGCAGCAACCCGCAGTTGAACTTGGTCTCCTTGTCGAGGTTGATTGCTATGCTATCAACAGGGTTGATGATCGCATCGAAGATGAGTCGGCGTATGCGTTCGGGGACACCGAGTAAAGAAGCTTGATTGCTCTTTACAAGCTCGAGTCGGGACCCATCGCCCTCCGCCACGAAGGTCGACATGTGCTCTGAACCAGGAAGTATCCTGACCAGTTGCGGATGTGCGCCTCGATAATCGTAATTTGTAGTACCCCAGTTGATCATTCCTCCGGTGCCATCTCGCTTGAGACCAACAGCAGCAACTAGTCTTCCGTACTGCCGTAGCTTCAGTTGACCCTGTAGAATAGATCGCATAATTGTAGTGATTGATGACGCGTGGCACCGGACAATCTCCTTATCCCCATCATTAGCAGGACCAAATTGCTGGGTAAACGAGACATCCACGTCAGCTTCAAGACGCCAGATAGCCCGCAGAAGGGGAGTAACCTCAAACAGCTCCAGTTTCTCGTCGAACACACGTTCTTGCTCCTCGAAGTCATTGTCCAGTCGAGCTTCTCCCCTGAAGCAGTTCCCGGATTGTAAATGATCTAGGTCTAAGACAATGTTACGCAGCCAATGCGCTTGTGATCCAAGACGGCTGAAGAATTCTCGTGGTATTTCGACAAACGAGCTAGGTAGGTCTGCTTGATTGGCCAGATAGCGCGAAAGTTGGAATGTGTTGTTCGAGTAAAGCATAGTACCTGCTTCGCGATACAGCGTCCGGCATGACGTGAAGAGGTCCACGGGAGGGTGAACCCAAGTAGCCAAATAAAGTCGCTCGTCTCTGTCATGGGGTAGGCGATAGTAAGTCGAGAACTCCACGCTTACTGGTGTGCGAAACTCAACCAGATAGCTGAAGATGTGATTGCGGAGTTCGCCGGGTAGATCCAAAATCGAAGGCTCGTCTAGATCGGCACGCTTAGAATCTCCGAGACTGAGGGGTGAGACGGAGTGGAAGTTGTCCATCGCGAGTATAGATGCTGGGGGGTACCAAATGTCCAGGCGGTAGTTCTTAAACTCTCTGTAAACCTTGCCTGAAGGTGAGCCTGGAGGTGAGCCTGAAGCCGAGCCTTGAGTCAAGCCTTGAGTCGAGCCTTTAGTCGAGCCTTGAGCTGACATTTTCGGTAGCTGAATGGAAGGTGGTTGAGGCGCTGACAGCAGTCCAACGCGGTAGGAAGCTGAATTTCAAGTACTCCCTCGGAGAACACTAGGCATCAACATCGGGCGCAGTGTGGACCTGGCTGTGCTCAGTGAAACTGCACATACTTAGGTAGCAACCGACCGCCACTAATTGCGTTATCAGTAGCTGCATGCGCAAGGATGGTAGGAGAATGAATGTAGGACAAGGAAGAGGCTGATACGTACGTGTTCATCAGGGCCATCCCAACGGAAAGCCCCTCAAATGAGAGAGATCTCGATCATTGAAGACTTGTGTGCGCAAAGTCATAAGGTCGAGCGCTGTATACACTCATAGCTGTGATATGTACACCATTGCAGGCGATGAGTGTAAATGCGCAAAGACAATGGCTCGCGATCTGGAAGATGGCGCGGTTAGGCACCCAGCACTCGCTCCATCATCCATCGCATATGCCACTTAACGTACCTATTCTCCATCCCGAGCAAGATGTAACAAGTCCACTACTTCAATCGAAGACGTCTTGCATCACATCCCTTAATCCTACTCTGATCAGTATGCGACGGCGTACCATGACGACTGAACTTGTAGTGTCGTTGAGCGCGGTGAATAGAACGGTCGTGCTGTAAATGACAAATGCGGAGTCACCGTCGTGGAGTCATAGCGACATGGTCGACGAGTGGCACCAGCGCAATGACGCACGTTCCCGAGTCACATACGTCATGTCGCGACTGTCATAGATTTCCGCAGGTATCGAAAGCATTGCTAGCAATCCTCTTGCTGTATCCATCGTGTTCGCGAGATCTGAATCTGCGCATCGCAGGCTACCAGTCGTTGCCCAAACTGCTATACACTACCCCGGTACCCTCAATCCATAAGTCTAGCCCGCCACCCCTCGGTCACACAACACAAAATTAGGATCTGTACGGCCTCCAAGAAGTCGTATAAACTGTTCCGCATAAAGCACAAGTGCACTCATTATGCTGAACAAGACGTCCACATATCATGCCATCATAGCCCAACCAAGCTACACCGGTCTTTATGTACTCAAATGGCGCCGGGGGAAGGTTACTGCGAACAGATTAGTTGATGGAATAGAAAGGTAGAGATAACAACTTACGCGCCAAGCATAGCCTTATACAGTCCCGCCCGATCAACAACAACCTTGATGAGATAGGGTAAGATTTTGTCGATCTTCCGCCGAAATGGGAAGAATTGAGCATCGTCACTGAAAGTTACATTTTTCTTCCATGAGAGATGGTCGAATCCATAGTGAACATCCATAGGATGTAATGTCCGCAGTTTGAACCCTCCATCGTCGTTGTCGTTTGCAACAAGCTCAGAGGCTGACTCCCAAGCCGGTCCTACAGCTTCATCGACGTTCTCGACTTGCACGACTTCTCCGAAGCCGTTGATCCAGATGTTGGGTGCTAACTCTTTTGATTCCACGTAGTACGTCGTCATGATGGTGGTGATGACGTTCAGGCGCAGCTCTCGAAGTGTAAGGGTATGCGAACTGACCATGGTAGGGTATCCTTCGGTATCAGTAGCCCAAACTTGTATGATGACTTTGTCTTCTCCGCTGGTCGTTGAAGTCTCCATGACCAATGGCAGGATGCTAATGCGGATGTCGCTCAAGGACATGGCATTTTGTAACTCAAACTTGAGAACGTACTTAAGTGAATTGGCCGCTCCCGGACCGGAAACGACAGTCCGTGTTTGTATTTCAAAGCCACCTGTATTGAAAGTTTTCCGGACAAATCTCCGTAAAAGGTCGAATTGGTCGAAGCTGGTGGATGCGCGGTCTGTCGTTAGGACTAGCTCGAAGGCGTTGTCGAAGAGCAATCTCTCGCGCCACGCGCGACCAATTTTCCAACTGACATCAATCAGACCACAGTCTGTCTTCTTATCCTTGCTTAGATCGATTTTATGGCCTTCACCAGGGCGTACAATCATCTCGAATATATGCTCATACAAGGGTCGTGGAAGATCCAGTAGAGCCAGCGGTTTCTCTCGTTTAATCATCCTGAAACGAGCGCCGCCATCTTCTGCGATAAACCTAGATGTGTAATGGTCGTCGGAAGCAATTCGTCCACTCCCATGAGACCAGACACGCCCAATAAAGTGAGAGATCCCCCAACTGATCGCTCCACCGGAACCGTCTCGATTCAGGGAAACCGCGCCCATCAGCCGATCCTGCTCTCGTAGCCGTAGTTGGCCTTCCAGAAGCGAACGGAACATAGCGCTCATGGCTGGCGCATTGCATGCCATACCTGGAGCGCGTCCAGGAGTCAGGAATGTATTGTGGGCGAAGGAGAATTCAACCGCAGGCCCCATTTTCCAGAAAGCACGCAGAAGGGGAGTGATTTCGAAGAGCGCAGGTCCGCCGTCAGCAGCGCATTCCTGAACACCATACCACAGGACGTCGCCTCGGAAAAATTTAGTAATGTCAAGCGCCTCAAGGTCGAGTATAACCTTGCGAAGCCAGTGCGCTTGCGAGCCTAGTTGGGTGAGAAAGGCGATAGGCAACTCGATGTCGAAGCCACGATAGGCTTTGAAATTGGGGTTTGGACACCATCCACGAGAGGCTTTCATGAGGAACGAATTACCAGAGTAGAAGGCGGAAACTACTTCACGATACAGTGTCCGGCAGATCGCAAGAAGGTTAACAGGGATTCGTACACCACGGTGTCCAAGTCGCATACGTAGCGGATTACTGTCGCAGGATATGATCATTGGGCTCTTGATCGGGACTAAGTAGCCAAATATCTGGTTTCGAGTCTCGCCCGGTAGATCGAGGATCGAGAGCTTGTTTGGGTCAGCGCGCTTCGAGTCGCCGCGCGCGAGTGGGGGAAGTAGCTTTTGGTCGTCCATCGCGCTGTCGGCGGGTGAGTCTATTGAGATCTCCAGGGACCTAGGAAGAAAGCGTTTGAGGTGGTGATGGTGCTTGTCCCTTCAGGTAAAGCTTGGGTGTATGTAACCCAGATGTACGCTAGGCACCAGGACCCTCAACGCAGTGGCGACCTAACTTTACCGAGCCGAGAGTGTCTGCTTCATTACTAGGATATGTTGAAAGAATGAGAGACCAAGGAAGGCATTGCAACGCCTTCATTGTATGGTGGCCGGTGACGTAGATTTCTCATTGCGAGCTCGCAACGTTGGGCAAACCGCGTCATCCAGGACTTGGACGCCATTATCAACAGCGTCTCTTAGAGCTAGCGCATCAAGCACTAATGGATGCGCGTGCGATTTGACAGAGATCTCAGGAGGCGACATCTGGTGATAGCAAGCTGTGAGGTTTGTCGACAATCGAGGTGACGACTACAGACCCTGGGTTGCGTCCGAACGCGACGCGATAACGCTAGTTACTAAGCACACATCACAATCTCCCAGCGCGTTCCACAAAAACACTCTCTCGTTGGATTCTCCATGCTCTACTCAAGAATTCCAATTTACTTCTTCAGCCACAATGTATTCTCCTCCCCTCGTCATGTCCTGACCCGTAGCCTCAAATCCAGCGATGCAGCTGCCAACCCATCTACCCAAAGTACCTAGGTACAACTAAAGCCTACTTGGGTTCTCTATCCAGTTCTCGCGCGGACAAGCACCGTCATAACACGCACACTTCACAAACGTATTCCCCAGTCTATTCCCCATTAGCACATCCACACATTGAATCGAAAACCTCAACTTACCCCGTAAAAATCCCATCGCCCTCCAACCCCGCTCCATCCAGACAACCCATAAGATACTGAAGCACCTCTTTCGTCATTCTACGAAATGGGAAGAGGTAGTAATGAACATCATACGGATAGCGACAGTCAGAATGGACGCCGTCGCCCTTGCTGCGATATACGTAGTCGATGGGATGTAAATTCGCGATGTGGTACTCGTCTTCGTCCTCGCCCGCCTCCTCGTTGTATACGAGCGGGGAGGCTGGTTGCCAAGCACCGGTGTCGTCGCATGATAAATCAGGAACAGTAGTGGTCTGGACAACGTCTCCGAAGCCGTTGATCCAGAAGTCTGGTAGTTCGTCCCAGGGATGGAGATACCTGGGATCGGAGTATACGTGGCTCATCATTGCTACTACAATGTTGAGTCGTAGCTTGTGCAGTGTCACAGTGTGAGAAGAGGTCATCCTAGATGTCCCCTCAGTGTCGTGCTTCATCCATATCTGAATCATCACGGTATTCTTGGCTTGTGTAGTCGACGTCTCTATGACTAGTGGCAACACGCTGATGCGAACGTCGGCAAGAGAGACTGCGCTGTCGGTTTCGAAACGAAGGATATATGACGGTCCGGGTTGTCGACGGTCCTCATCCCGGGTGACGATTCTCGCGGTAACGGTGTCCGGTCTTCCAGGTGAGTAGGATGATATGCACTGGTAAGTTTTGCGGAGGAAGGTTCGGAGGTGTTTGAAGTCGTCGAACGTCGTCTGCACCTGCCTTGTTGTCACGGTCAACACGAAGTTGTTGTCGAAGATGAACTTGTCGCGCCAGGTGTCGTAGAAGTGCCTGTTAACATGGACTAGTCCGCATCTAAACTTCGTGTCGTTGTCGAGATCGATGCCTGTTCCCTCGGTGGGATGAACCGCCATGCTGTAAATCCGTTCTTGGATGGACTTCGGAAGGGTGAACAAGGTCAAGGCCGTGCTACGTTGCGTGACAAGCTTGAGTCGAGAACCACTTTCTTCAGCGATAAAGTCCGTCAGATAGTCAGGGTTCGCTTGGAAGCGACGTCTCGGGCAATAATACGGCCCTGACGGATGTTGTGTCGTACCCCAACTGAGTATCCCGCCAGATCCATCTTGCTTGAGAGCGACCGCGCGCAGCTGCTCTCCGTAACGTTGGAGTTGAAGTTGGCCCTGGCAGATAGATTGGAAGATCGCTGTCATGGCTGTAATATCGCACTTGGTGCGTAGAATGAAACCTTGAGGACTGTCATCCACGACCTTGTTGAAATGTACAAGTACTTTCAAGTTTCGACTTCAGATAGCGCGAAGGAGAGGCATGACTTCAAAGATACCGTACCATTCAATCGATGGAAATGCAAAATCATGCTCCTCGTGACATCGATGGTACCGGTACCCTGATAGGGAGCTGACGTCCAATTCGAGCTTGGAGAGCCAGGTTGCTTGAGAACCCAAACGAGTGATAAAGATGCTGGCTATCTCCATATAGGAGTGCCACGTTTCGCGGTACTAGGCACCAACACTGCGTTGAGACACGATATAGACCTGGTCATGTTTAGCAAAGGCTCTTAGTAACCAACTGCAACACAAGAGGTCTTTTTATCGTCACATACTCTTCCCGCACGAGCGATGAATTCCATGGACCATGACCGCGTTGACAACATCATCGCTCCAACCCCCTCCACCTCCAAACAACCCTCTCCTACTTCCATTCCATCCCCAACAAGAGACCAGAGTCGACACCGAAGCAGAGCCCACAACGCAATAGTAGCACGGCACTACTTAACACACTAAAGGAACTACACTCAACCCATACAACGCAGTGAATGCGCAATACATACCCACAACACGCACGCAGTGTGCTACTCCAAAGAACAACTTGCACCAGCTTTGCGATAGACTAGTGACTTACAGTCCATACCCCCTCAACCACCTCAACTCCCTCGCCTGATGCTCCAACGCCCTCCTCATCTCAACCCCATACATTCTCTCCCTCATCTTCTCCCCTCCCTCCTCCCCATCACCCTGCCTCTCCAACGCATCCTCAAAAACGTCCCTCGCCATCGGCGGCTCCTTGCCAAAGCCCAGCAGCCCCAACTTGCCATCTCCCGTCCACAACACCAGGTTATTCAGACCGAGAGACTCAGTCCCAGAAGAAGCCGGAGAGTAAGGTGTAAGCAGGGAGTTATTAGTCGTAGGCAGTATTTTCTGCACAATATCCCCCCATCCCGCTTCCGAATCTGGCGTCGCATTCACAAGACTACCGTGATGATGATGGCTCGTTACAGCCTCCCCATCCCTGCTCCTCTGGAAATCATTAATGTTGAACTGCCGCACGGGCGTACTCCCATCCCGTTCAACCCACTTCAAATTCCCGTCGCCATCCGAGAAAACAAGTCGCGTGCCCTGCGGCGCCACAGCCAACAACTTGGAGCTACTAGCCGTCTGCCGATTCTGATAATACGCTTTCTGGTTGCGCGTCGTGCGGCTGTCGCTCGAGTTGATAGAACGAGACGGTTCATTCGAGAGGCCGTATAATTCCAGCGAGCCTTTGCCTTTGTATTCACCCGCTGCGATCAACGTGTACCCCGGTGTAGATTTTGCGTCGCGCAACAATGCCGGACTGCTATACGGTCTACCCAATCTCAGATCTTGTGGTACGAAGGGATGTGGTATAGCCGTGATACACGATAGCCTTGCGCCAGAATGCACAGTACCGCGTAGTCTGGGGAAAGACCTCCGGTCAAAGTTCAACATGCTGGTGAAGCGTCCTGCAACCCAGATATCGCCGTTTCCGTCCCAGTCGCGCGTTGTAGGTAGGTGGAGTATGGACAGCGCACCCGGTTGGGAAAGCGAGACGTGGCCGTCAAAGTCGCCGGTGTCGAGGCGCGAGAAGTCGCTGTCGGTTGGGCCGCCGATGAGCTCGCAGCGGACGGACGAAGGCGGTGCGGGAGGTTTGCGCGAGTCGTGGAGGTGTAGCGTCCAGTTTGTGCCGACTGTGAGGGGGGTGCGGTGGTGGGCTTCCGAGAGGGCGGTGATGGGGAAGGGGTACGGTGTTCGTGAGACGACTTGGAGGGTGTTGAGGTCGACTTCGTTGAGGGCGTTTTTGACGGCGAAGAAGCCTTTGTGGAGTTTGCTGTCAATGCTCACGCATTCGACGGCACCGGTTTCTGTCATGATGGCTTGGCTTTGTGTGAGGCGCGTGTCGTAGTCGAGGTCTGAGCCTCTGCCTGGTAGCAGCCCAATGTCGCTCTTCGCTATCATCTTGCCCTGTCGGTCGCTGCTCGCTGAGGCGTCCCAGATGCTGATACTGCCATCGTCGAGGGGGGCGATGAGCTTGTCTGCTAAGCCATCGTCGTCAAACAAGATGCCCGCACCCGTAGCCTCCCTCCTTATGGCCCCCTCGTCCCTCTCCTCCGTCCCAGCATCCTGGAACCAGCTAATCTTCTGCTCGGCATGGCGCTGTATGAAGTCCTGGTACCAATTCACCTTCTCGTCAGGGTAACTAGGATCCCAATTAGCAATCAGCGCCTGCCTGCGCTTCTCCTGGTTGCGCTCCTGCTGTGTCTCAGCACTCGGCGCGTTCGCATCGTGAACAGAGGTATCGAAGGTATTGGCGAGAGTGTCGGCGGCGCGTATCAGCTCGGCGAGGCGGGGGTCGATGTCGGTGGTGATTTCGAGACGGCGGCGACGCCGCTCAGCGGTCGAGTGGGTGAAGCAAAGCGACTTCCATAGGTTGTTGTCGCGTGAGAGGTTGAGGAAGCGGCGCGACACGTGTTGGAGGGCGACGAGTTCCGAGGGTTCGAGGTCTGGGCATAAATGTCAGCAACCAACTCAGCGCACCACCATCGTGTATGCAGACAGTAGAAGGAGGCCTCGAAGGTGTTAGAGAGAGAGGAAGAAAATCAGCATGGAGTTGGCCTCCACCACCGCCCCTCCGCCTCCCCTCTGCCTCCCCCACCCACCCGGGGATGCGCGTGATGAGCACGGATGCTTACAGGAGATGATGTGGAGGATCAACTCGTCGGGAAGATGTATCATGGTTGTCAAACTACACTTGATACCGAGTGAATAGAGGAGGAGATGGGATAAAGGGTTATAGCATGTGTGTTGACAGCAATGGCGAATGCGACACGTTTATCTCCCGTATCTCACAGTCGAGATCCAAGGGCTCAAGGGCTGACGACATGCCGCCTCGGCCCATGACTCGTTGCCCTTTCCCCACACACCGCCTTTCCTCATCAAGCCCACCGAAAAGGGAGGTTGATATCTGAATATATTGAGCGTGGTTTTATTGCGTAACATTCATGATTGTTGCATAGGTAGTGTTATCAAGGTTGGCACAACACGAACCACCACTCAATTCATGCGCGGAAAGATACTCTTGAATCAGGTCTATCGGAAGTTTGAAGGCTTCAAGACAATTACACCTCATACAAGGAAAAGACCGATCATGTCTAGAGCCTACATCGACGCTAGGTTATCTATTTTGTATGCTTACATGTTGATGTAGGCTGCAGGCCTGTTTAGCTTTTTCTTGGTTGACATGGTTACATGAATCTCGCATTATCAAGATTAGACCACTATCTCCCTCCCCATCTCCCTCTACTTTCCATCTCAAGAAACCCGTACTCATTACACACGAAAAGAATCCGTGCATGGTATCATCCCTATATTTTGCTTCAAGAACGAAAGAAAAAGCCCGAAATGCCCCATGTCCCTTCCCTTTGTGTATACTCCCAAAACGCCCCCAACCAATATCCATGCTAATTCCCACGCTCTACCGATGATGCATCTGCTTCTCCACATCCTCCGGCGGCGTCGTCACACTCGGCAGCTCCGCCACAGGCTGCGGCGGCCTATACGCCTGATACGGTTGTCCTTTTTCGTTGAGAACAGGGTTGACGCTTGTATCTGCCAGCTCCGTAGCCTCGGGATGTGTGAAAGCAGCTTGAGCGGGCGAATATTGCGGAGGAATAGTATCCCAAGTAGTACGATTCGGATCGCCGTTTCCGCCTCCGATTCCAACGGCGTCGGGTCCGTAAGGCGTGCCCTGATGACCCGGTTGAAACCCGTTTCCAGACGGTAATTCAGACACGCGATTTGCGCGCCCCGCGCCAATTGGGTTTCCGTCGATTTCCGCGGTTGCGGGGCGCGAGTTGCGGTATGTTTCTTTCTTGCTCTTGTTGAGTTTTCCAGCAGCAGCACCACCAACGAGGGGGCTGTCGCCTTCGACTTCAGAGGAAGGGTCGTGGTAGGGATTGGCTTTTTGTTGGCGGCGCTTGCGGAGGAGCCAGAAGATTATGCCGACGAGGGCGAGGGCGAGGGGGATGCCGACTGCGCAGCCGATGATGAGGCCGAGGTTGGATTTTGAACCGCCCGAGGAGGAGGAGGAGTCGTTGTTGGCGTTGCTGGAGCCGGCGGTGGGAGTGGGGGTTACGAGGACGGTGTTTTGGATTGTGACGACGCCGCCGCCGGCACTTGTGGAGAGGCTTTGGATGACGGAACTGAAGGGCGTGGCTGTGGTTGAGGCGTCGTCGGCCGTGGCAGTTGCAGAACCGGAGTTGGGGGCGTCGGTAGAGGGAGAACCTGAAGATCCTCCTGCTGTCGTCTTAGATGCTTGGTTTCCTCCTCCTGATCCACCGCCGCTCGAAGCCAGACCGGTGATAGTCGCAAGGTTGGGAGCAGTTGATGCTTGGTTTTGGCCAATTGTAGCGTACGCCTCGCCATCCTGAAGCTTGAAGAAGGGTCGTGGCGATGGTGATTCCTTGCAGCAATTTACGTTTACGTTGTCTGCGTTGCAGCACCACTGGTCATCGTGGTCTTTGCACTGTGTGATCGACTCGCCTCCAACAGCTTTCTGATCTGCTCGGTCTTAGCAATGATCGATTGGAGAATCCGAGGTA